CTTGAATTCCTGAATCCTTGAATTTCTGAATACTTGAATTTCTGAATCCTTGAATTCCTGAACTCTTGAATTCCTGAATCCTTGAATTTCTGAATACTTGAATTCCTGAATCCTTAAATTCCTGAACTCTTGAATTCTTGAATTTCTAAATATCAGTATTTTTGTAATTTTCAATTCTTCAATATCTGATTGTTTGAATTTCTATAGACCTCAATTTTGAAATTCTGAAATTTATAAATTCTGAAATTCTTGTCTAAAAATTAAGACTTTGTCCTGATTAAAACTTTGACACATTCAGACTTAAGTTACTTAGAATTTTTAAATCTTGAATTTTTAAGATCTAGAATTTAAAATTTATGACATTAAAATTTTGAACTTTATAACTTTATAACTTTGAGTTTCGACAAATTTAAGTTTTTGGAATATTGTAATTTTGAGTCTTTAAAATATCAGAAGTTCAAAAGAGTATTTCAACATAAGCATCAATACAACAATAACCATTTGTTAATTGCGCGCGAACGGGGCATCTATTATTACCTAACAGCTCCAGTTTATCGGACGGTCACTTATCTATACTCCATCCAAAAACCCATAGTACGTTCTTAGACTGACTCAAGAATAAAATTATACAAACTTAGACAATCAGTACATGAGTTTCAAGTCTCATATACAAAATTACTATAATATTACTATTACTATTACCATAAATATTAGTATTACTATGATAATCGAACACAGAAAAATTTTCATAAGAAACAATATATGCAGCCATTTTCCTAAGAAATTAATTCCTTCCGAAAATGTCCGCATATCAAATTGGAAACTCACCGTCACTGAGATGGATAAACTTGCAGGCGGGACGGTTGCACACTTGTCGATTAAAATCTTGGCACACCGGGAGGGTGTCCAGTAACTGAAAGAAAATGTCAAATACTTTTACAACAGATACTTCTGTAACTTTAACGAGCAATATTTAAGAGAAGGAAAAAAATATATACTTTTTATGGTATCTCACCTCGCATACACTCGCAAATGCACACACTGTTTTTTTTTTATTGAGACATACGCGCGTCCACAGCCACGCATACACACTGTGGGCACAGATGGAATCAGTAATCTTTCTCTCAATCACGCATACGTATGTTGAAAATCATTGGACACGCGCATTCAAACTCAATTTCAATGTTAGAGCATATTTTTGGTTTGTACAGGCTGATTCACAAGAACGGTTCGAGTTTCGGGGCTGATGGTCTGTGGGGTGAGAGTGGAGGAAGGCTTTTGAATAACGTGACTTGAATGGTTATTGGGTTATTTTAGTTTTGGGGTTCTTTTTTACGGGGAAAAAATTTGTTTTAGAGTTAATTTTAGAGTAAATTTAGGGTGGTAGTATTTTAGATCTAGGGTTGTAGAAATTTAGATTTAGAATTGGGAAATTTTCAGATGCTACTGTGGAAATTTAGAATACTAGAAAACTTTAATTTTTAGAATTCTAGAAACTTGGATATAGGACTGCTATTTTATATTAAGATTGTAGAAACTTAAAATTAGAATTGTTGAAATTTCTCAATATTCAAGGGTGTAAATTATAAATTGTAAAAATTTTTCAGTTTTCAAGGGTGCAAAATTATAGATTATAGAAATTTTTCAATTTTCAAGGGTGTAAATTATAAATTGCAAAAATTTTTGAAATTTCAAAGGTGTAAATTATGAAATTTAGAATTTTTCAATTTTTAAGAGTGTAAATTACGAAATTTGGAATTTTTTAATTGTATAATTGATTAATTATTTAATTTTCTGAATTGTGTAACTGAATTTAAAAAATTTTTGAATTAATGTACTTAAAAATTTCTAAATATTCAAACTTAAAAATGTTGTCAACATTAATATGACAAAGATTCAAATTTACATATGGTTAATTCATAAATTTTCAACATTCTCAATTTTATTGTATTTAAATTTCATAATTTTTAAATTGGCTTGCTTTCAAATTTTAATATTTTTTAATTTGCATGTATTAAAATTTTACTATTTTTCAATTTGCATGATTACAAATTTTAGAATTTTCACAATTCTTTTGTAATTTTAAAAAGGAAAAATTTAATGATTTTCACACTTTCAAAATTACAGACTCACATTTGCAAATTTACAAGCTTTAAATATTAAAAATTATAGATATCTAAGTTAACAATTTTTAAATTTGAAAATTTATAAATTTGAAAAGAGGACAGTTTGCAAATTTTTGAATTTCCAAATTTGCAAATTTGTCAATTTGAAAACATGTAATTTTAAAAATATTTTGACTTTGCACATTTCTAAAATTGAAAATTTGAAATTCTGAAAACTTGAAAATCTGCAAATTTATAAAATTCCAAACTTGAAAATTATCTACTAATTCTTGTGTAAAATTTGTACATTTTGCAACTTTGAGAATTTTTAAATTCCAAAAGTATGAAATTGTCATACTTTTAAGTTTTCAAATTGTCAAATTAAAAAAATTTAAAAATATTTAAGTTTTCAAATTTTTTAAATTTATTTACTAATTTTTTTGTGGAACTTGTAAATTCAACATTTCGCAACTTTGAAAATTTTTAATTTTCCAAATTTTGTAATGGTTATTTTTTAAATTTAAAATGGTCAAACTTAAAAGTTTGAAAATATTTAATTTTTCAAATTTGAAAATCTCTATTAATTTTTTTCTGAAACTCATAAATTCAAAATTTTTTAACAATGAAAGTAAATTTTCAAAATTCTGTGTCAACATATTTTTAGACTTTAAAATTTTCAGGTTAAAAAATTTTAAATATTCAAATTTTCAGGTTCAGAAATTTTTAATATACAAATTTTCAGATTTAAGAATTTTAAATATTCCAAATTTGAAAATGTAGGCATTTCAAAGTCCAAAAAACATCACTCTCAAAAATCCTATTTGAATTCGCAAGCTTTCAATAATATAATTTCCCAATTTCCCAAAAATATAAGTTTTCAAACAAAAATTTCTCAAATCTAGGATTTACACCTCTTCAAACCAAGAAATACACTAAACTTTGAAGAACACAAAAGAACTCTCCCTATATTGCAGTATCTAAATCCATAAAACAAACAATAAAAATTCCTACCTAACATGACTATTCATTCAAAGCTATTAAAATACTTGAATGCAAGATATCTAAAATATCTAGGCCCTATATTCTAGGGTAAAAATCTAGGGTATTTAAACATCTATAAAAATGTCCCCATAACCAGCCAAATACGTCAAACTCATCCTCCACTTGACGAGTACCAGTTCCCCAAAAAGGTCCCATTATTCTGAACCAACCTGTACATTACATGCTCTAAAATATCAAACCGTACGAATATTAAATCTACCGGTGCATGAATAATCGAGATCACCATCTACACGTTCTAAATCCATAAATCACTAAAATCTGGCAACGGGTCGATTATTCAGGCACACTGAAATTAAAAGGAAAATTTGCAGTAGAACTTTTGAAAGGATTCCCTTTTGCGCTCTAAAATATCGCTCGAAACAAGCCTTGGCTTCATTTCGTTTTCTATCGTATCGCGCGAACGGTTCTATAATCATCGTAACTTTCTCTTTCGGTCACCATGCCCAACACTTTGTATGCAAGGAGCGTGCCTATAAACAAAAGGATACGATTCGCAAATTTTCTTTGAATTCGAATTTGTTCTCGTGTTTGAAAATTGGCGGGAAAATTTGCGAAACGATGATGGAGCCCTCTTCTCGACGGGCCATTCAGCACGACAATACTAAACTAACAGTAAGACTCATGAGTAACAGAAACCGTGAAATATAAAGGGAAATTATCGTTTCCGCTGTTCGAGTCACTGGATGACTTCAGGAAACCTGGCTGTCGTGATGGAACGCAATCATTTCTGTACGTAACATTGTTTCGGGAACGAAGGAAAAAACTAGTTGTCCCATTTTCTGTTCGTTACCGTTTTTCGACCCGGAGGATCTCAAGGGAGGCAACTTGAGAAAATTGGAAAGAAAAGAGCGGATAATGCGAATATCGATTATCGAGGGGGATACGATATGTGAATCGTAGAGAGAATCAATTATTGAAGCGAGAATCTCTAACGGGCTAACACAGTTTCTAAAAGATAAAAAAAGCATGTACCTAGGGCACGCGCGCGAACACACACACGCATACGCACAGTGAAGCATACGTGTACACGAGGCTGATGTGTTGGCTTCTTTTCGATCAGTACGTGCTCGGAAAGAGATTGTTACTTCATTTTGATTATGGAATTTTTGCAAGTCTGACGATTTTGAAATCTTGGAAAATTTATTATTTTTCAAGTTTCTGGAGTGGAAAACTGTTCGGATTGGATTTAAAATTTTTGAAAAATTGAATTTAAAAGTTATACGACTTTTGAATATTTTAAGAGTTTAAACCTGAAATCTTTTAATTTCCGAATTTTTGAATTTTTGCAATTTTCAAACTTGACAGTCCTTACATCTTCAAATTTTCGAATTTTTGCAGTTGTCAAATTGGTCAATTTTACGATTTCTCAAATTTGTTCCTTTTCAAATTTTTACGTTACTGAATTTTTAAATTTGTGAATTATTCAAATATTTTAATGATAATATTTCTATATTTGCAAGTTTCCTAATTTTTTGGGATTTCAAATTTTCAATTTTCCAAATTTTATGAATTGCTAGATTTCTATACCTCAATCAGAATTTTTATTCAGAGCTTGTTTATTTTAGTGAAAGAGGAATTAAATAATTGTAAAATTGTAAAATTGCAAAATTGAATAATTAAATAATTGAATAATGGAAGAATTGAATAATTGAATAAGTGAACAAATGAATAGTTGAACAATTGAGTAATTGGACAATTGTGTAATTCAACAATTGAGTAACTGAATAATTGAATAATTCAACAATTGACTAACTGAATAATTGAATAATTGAATAATTGAACAACTGAATAGTTGAATAATTAAATAATCACAAATTCTAATAATTAAGAAGTGATATAATTAAAAACTGATTTATTTGCAAAGTCTTCAATTTCTATACCTGAATAATTAAATAATTAATAAATAAATTTGACAATTTTTTAGTTCTCAAATTCTTAAATTTTCGAATTCTCTAGTGTACTATATTTACATTCCAAGATTTCTGTACTTGAAAATTTCCAAATTTCTAAGTAAACTGACTTCTGAATTAGAAAATTAAAACCTTGGAAATTTCTATCCAAACAAATGTGAAAATTTGAAAATTTCTAATTTTGAAAATTCAAAATTTTTTAATCATGAAAATTAGAAAATTCATAACCTCAAAAATTTGATATTTTACAACCTTGAAAATTTGAAAATTTCTCATCTTGAGAATTCGAAAATTTATATTTCTAAAAATCCAGAAATTTGTAATCTCAAAAATTACGAAATTAACAACCTTGAAATTTAAAAAATTTGTAACCACGAAAATTTGAAAATCTATCATCTAGAAAATTCGAAAATTGCTAATCCAAAAATTCGAAAATTTTTAATTCCAAACATTCGAAAATTTCTGATTCTGAAAATTCAACAATTTCTAACTCCGAAAATTCGAAAATATCTAACCTTGAAAATTTGAACATTCAACCATAAAAATTTGAAAAATCATGACTCCAAAAATTTACCATCAAAACACGAAATTTTACAAATTCACAAATTCCACGAATCAAAACCAAAAGTACACTAGAATCTCTCCCGTCACATCGCCACTGTTCCAAAAGAAACCCACCATGCTCGCCGGTGTACATTCGTATCTACGAAAAAAGATCATCGATACACGTCCTGTAAAGGGGGGCATCACGCGTATACAAATGCAACGAAATAGACTTGAAACGGCAATTTTTCTGTGAACTAATGTCGTGTTAGCAAGAAATACGTTAAATTGAA